TCTTCTGCAAGTGGTGTAAACATTGGTCCGTAACTGAGATACCTTTGTCTCAACTTTTCTTTGAGTTTCATTGAGGAAAGTATCACGTTGTTTTCATACCCTGGTTGACCGGTTGACGTTTCCAGGAAATCAGCCCACGTTTTAATAAGTGCGTCATCTGTTAGGAATAAAGTCACAAATGGCGTGTCTTCCTTCACTGTTAACTTTCCCTTCTTCTGGTCTTCCTCAGTTACCTTTATGTTCTTTAATACAAACATGAAATCTGCATCTGAAAGTAATTTCTTATTCAAATTCATTCTCATGGTACCTTCACTGAAACTTCCAGAGCAGAATGCTTCATCGAGTTGAAATGGAGCTTCGTTATCGAAATAATTGCTCGCTGAATTGAAAACATGTTGATCTAGGTGCTCTGCCACAAGTTTAAGTATTTCTTTTCCTTGTTTTGCATATGATGAGGTAAATAAATGATCAAGTTTTTCCAGGCCATCACGAAATCCCCGACAACCACGTGGAAAAAGACCTATGTTTAAAATGGTCTTTCGAAGCTGTGCTACAACACTTAAGAGGGCCTCTCAGTAAAATCCACCCGCTGGTTTGGGGAAGGAAAAATAGATTTAGCTCATATTTTGCATATGAACTAGACTTTGGTCAATATTAATCGAACTTCTTTCAGAACGTTTCAACTTTCTGTTTTATAGGAGTTATAGCCATGTTGAAATTTGACCTTGCGAGAATATTTTCAGACCGGAAATGAAGGGAAATTTTACAAGAATTCATCTGATTTTTTAAAAACGTTGTGATGCGTTTATCTTCTCCAGTTACTGTTCATATGCAAGATTAACACTAATACTCTCGTTTACATAGAGATTGAATAACTTTATTTGCTTAATACGATTTTTTTATAGTTTTACGAAACTATGTTTTCAAGATGGCGACGAGAGGCTGAAAATTGCTCATATTTTACTTAAAATAGCTCAAAAGTGGCACCTATCTGAGGTTCAAAAGGCATGTAATTTGAAAGTATACCTACTAAAGTTAAGTAATCAGGAATAAAACTCGTCTGCAAGCAATTTTCTGAAAAGTTATGAATCTCCGAATTGGGTCTATTTTTAGCTGTTTGTTTACATTCGCGTGTTCGCTGATCAGCGACACTAGTAATAATTAAAACGTTAAATAAGCTGGGGGCGGTTGTATAAAAAAGTGATTAAAGTTAACTATAGTTAAGTGGAAACGTCATCCAATAAGAAGCGCCTATTTAAGAATTAATCACTATTTAACTACAAAATAGTGATTAAAAAAGTGATTAAGAGTTTTATACAACCGGCCCCTGGTTTATTATCCAGCTTCTAATTCACAACATAAAAACATTAAAAACACAACCTTAACCATTCTTGGCTTATTCGCATGAATAATTTCACAACTGTTAAATATCTTTTTAAGGTATAATCGGGCAGTACTTTCTGTGGTTGTAGCAAAATTCAAAGCTGTCAGTATCTCTGGCTGTACATAAAAAGTGTTCGGTGCTTTAACTTTTTTATTCTACTTGTCTTGTAATCTTTTTCTGTCCCTGTAAATGGAAATTTTGCCGGAAAGGTCGGATCGGACATTAATTCTTGCAGCATGGATGCAACATATTTTTGTACATAATTGCAGTCAAAATACTACAACCTTCCCACTTCCGCTTTTGTAGTCTGTTGTCATTTACTATTTTGTTTTGACTTTTGCATTATTGTAGCGGTCGCCGAATTATGGAGAAATATGGCGATAAAATTTAGTTGTTTTTTATTTTTGTAATATTTTAAATAATTGTAACAAAGGTTGCATTTTTCGTTTGATTCACTGCATATGAACACATAAGAATTTTGAAATTTAACTTATATCGTCGTATTTCCATATAATTTGTTAACCGCTGCAATAACAGAAATACTGCAGTAAGAAACAGAGTTTTCCAAAAAAATAGTTTTAAAAAAGTTTTAAAAGAGTTTTAAAAAGCAAAAAAAGTTTAAAATGTTAGATTTTTAAAAAAGTTAAAAAAATTACGGTTAAAAAAGTTAGGGTTAGGAGTTAGAGATTACTGGTTAGGAGTTAGGGGATTAGTGGTTAGGGGTTAGTGCCGCGAATTTATTATTATCATAAATTCAAAATGTGCTGCGAATTTATCATAATGATAATTTCGGACGTGTTTAAGAATTTACTCATATAGTAAATTCAAAGGTGGAGCTCATGCTGAACTACAACACTGGCTTGTCAGTTATTTTTGATAGCAGCTCTTATTTTTACTTTGTGCATGCTTGAGTCATGGAAAAGAACTTTTCTTTTGCTGGCCTGGGGAATTTTGCATGTGGAGAAAGCCGGGGAATACAGAAAGTTGCACAAATTGGGGGAGTGTAATGCAGACATTTGTACTCACCCCAGCAGTTGTCACCTCACGAGGCTTACCATCAACGAGAGTGAACTTATACTTGCCAGAGCAGGGCACTTTTACCTACCCAGGAATAGCTGACAAACATGACTATCCAGTCTGTTATTAGTTCAGTTTCATTTTTCAATTGGGTCTATCCTGTCAATATGAGATCAGTGGATAGACTCTATAAAAAGTGAAGCCAATAGACAAATTTGGCTAACGCTGTTTACATCGTTGCCACCCAATTCACAGCTTTGGATAACTCACATGCCTAGCTACTATTGTTCTAGTTTACAGAAGCATAGACTGAATAGAACAAAAGTAACTAAACATTAAACTTATGTATTATCACTTTATATTTACTGAGATCGAGGAAAACAGTGTGTTTTGTGGACCAGAGCCACTTATAGATAGTATATAAGTGTTAAAGTATGAATAATTCACCGATTATTGGAGTGAACTTAGCGGCAGATCAAGGCAGGGGCGCCGGAGCCACGGGGGCAACTGCCCCCGTTGCCGAAACAGTGCGGGGGCGGCACGGGGGCAACAGCTTGCCCTTTTTCACCAGAACTGCGCTTCGAAATTTGTGCGTTATTAACATGAATTGGGATTTATAACTATTTTAAGCAATGTTTGCTTAATTTTAACCAGTTGTAGTAAAATTAATGCGTGAGGCCGCGGAATTACTTTTGTATAATTGTGATCAAAATCAAACGATTTTTGAAAATATGGAGTTCCTATAAAGTCGGAAATGGCCTTTACAGAGTTTTTACTACTACAAAAAGGGCATTTCCTTTCTAGCCCCCCCAAAAAGGCATTTTTTCATTTTTAAAATGTGGTGAGGCACATGCCCCATTGTCCCCGGTTCCGCGGCCCCTGATTAATGCTAAACCAGGCAATATACGTCTGTTTACTGATTTTATCAGCGCCCTTAACATGGTGCAACGAATAAAATTGTTCAAAATTAATGTCGAAGTTTGCCGACCCACAATAGCCACAAGTAATCGAGTATCCATACAATAAAGTTCTAACAAATATTGCCGCCCAGAAAAATGATTGCTTAGAAGCAAGTGCCCTTTTGAAATGGCTGCCCGCCGCTTCACATTGCTTGCGGCGCCCCTGGATCAAGGTCATAATCAGGAGATTATGGTATTGTGTCAATGTATTGACGAAGTTCTTATTATATTACCAATATATTATTTAATAACATTAAAAGATATCAGGATCGTAGACACCAGCAGAATCGTTGTAACTGTACTACTGTATGTGTATATTGAAAGTGTATAATTAGTGCAAGTGTACAAAGTTAAGTATAAATGTAAAGTAATTCGAATTCAAGAATGTTCTGTACACGATCGCTTAATTGTATATATTGTAATTATATTTTCACAAAATTGTATATATTCTTTTGAACAAGCTAAAAAGGTTTACTCATGGGTAATAAATCAGCCTATTTTAACTCTTCAATTACTAGTGTCGCTGATCAGCGAACACGCGAATGTAAACAAACAGCTAAAAATAGACCCAATTGGCAATTTGGAGATTTATAACTTTTCAGAAAATTGCTTGCAGACGAGTTTTATTCCTGATTACTTAACTTTAGTAGGTATATTTTCAAATTACATGCCTTTTGAACTTCAGATAGGTGCCACTTTTGAGCTATTTTAAGTAAAATATGAACAATTTTCAGCCTCTCGTCGCCATCTTGAAAACATAGTTTCGTAAAACTATAAAAAAATCGTATTACGCGAATAAAGTTGTTCAATCTCCATGTAAATGAGGGTATTAGTGTTAATCTTGCATGTGAACAGTAACTGGAGGGGATAAACGCATCACAACGTTTTTAAAAAATCAGATGAATTCTTGTAAAATTCCCCTTCATTTCCGGTCTGAAAATATTCTCGCAAGGTCAAATTTTAACATGGCTATAACTCCTATAAAACAGAAAGTTGAAACGTTCTGAAAGAAGTTCGATTAATATTGACCAAAGTCTAGTTCATATGCAAAATATGAGCTAAATCTATTTTTCCTTCCCCAAACCAGTGAGTGGATTTTACTGAGAGGCCCTCTTAAATCTGCTTGAGCCATTCGTTCGCTAAAAAGAACATAAGACAGATTAAGAATGTATGTACATGTGCAATTATGTAATCAGTAATGCCAGAATATGATTCTAAGTATTCGCGTAGTAGTACACATGCATACATATGAAGATTATTAGTAGATTACAATTGTTTTTTTATCAACGTAATTCAAACTCTATCCTGTATCAAAAGGTTTTGAGAAAAAACAGATGATAAAGATACAATTATTTGAGAATTTTATATACTTGCTCTCGTCAGCTAAAAATATAGATTACCACCACCCAGGGTTTTTTAGTTTCCTGAGTTCAGACATGACGTCGAGTGACAGAGTGAGGTGTCCTCAAGTCTGCTAAAGTGCAAGTGATTTCCTATATATTTGCACACAAATCAGCACACTTTTTTCAAGATAGCAATGTCAATACCACCACACGTATTCTTTATTGTTTTATTGCATGGTATTTGATCAAGACCTGATATCAACATTCCCATGCAGGTCTTGATTTAGTAATTCAAAACCTGGTATAGGTCTTAAATTGAAATTAAAAACCTGATAGCAGGTCTTGAATACTTTGAATTTGTGGCTGAAAACGAGACTTAGCCAAACAAATCTGCAAGTCATTGCTTAAATAAGTCTAAACTTACTATATTACACTAAATTGAATATATATAACACATTAATGTCATTATTCAGTTAACAATTTTGATCGATGTTTTACTTCATGTGGTGTAAGATCAAACAATATATATACTCTCAGAGCAAAAAAAACCAACATGAATATGAAACCACAAACTTTTCAATATTTAATACGCTGGAAAACTGCATGGTTGTAGCATTTCAATTCCGAATACTGTACTTTGTAGACTTTCCGCAAAGCCAAATCATGAGGAAAAGACGAAGGAAATCACTGCCGTGTTGGTAGTTTTATATGTGATAAAAAATCATGTTCATTTACATAAACTTTATCTTTGATTTTCTCGGCTTAGACAACGTTTATTTTTATAATTACTTCGCCAATGAGGTCATCAGATGGGTCGTTTTTTAAGCCATTTAATTAAAATACTCGCAGTCCGTGCAAGCAGATATAAAACACTCGAGCTGAGCCCCCATGTCATGTTTTATACCTAATAAAGCACTCCTGCACGTGTTTTAAATAGTAAAACAACATAACGACCCTCTTGAATTTCAATGAAAGACCTCCTACTCGGTTGTCATGCAGTTAACCATACCTAAAAGACCACAACGTCTTCACCATACCTCACATCTTCAGCTTCCTAAAAGCCTGAATGCATGTTACTGCAGCCTTCAACGAATAGTCGTATTTATGTACGCATAATAGTGACAAATGTGAAATTGTGCATTATTAAAAAAGAATATATCAATCAACATGGGTTACCGAGGTCCGAGTAGATCATTTCATTTTTTCGTTTACTTTAGTTTTCTTTGTAATTAACTTTACAAATTGTACAAATAAAAGTTGTCTTTACAGATAAAAGATCTACTATTAAGTATGATTAATAATGGATTCTAATGGATATGGACATAGACTATAATATAGTTTGCCAAAAACTGCACGTATAGCGTGTTCTTTTGCACTTTTCCGATATCTGACTTCATTTGAAGATATTTCACTTTTCGATATATGTAAAGAAAATTAATATTTAACCATTTAAAACAACAGTAAATAAGCAAACATTGAATATGAAACTACAGAAAATTATTAATTTCTAGCAGTGCCATGCAATTATTACCATTCCAATGACAACTTATTTACATATCAAACAATTTACATATCATGCATGGAAACGAAAAAACAACAGATATCGAAGAAATGTAAAATGATATGCACGCAGAAGAGCTTTTTTATTACAATCCTGGTCAAAAACCGCGTGGCTAGCCGTGCAGCATATTATTAAATAAAAAATTGTCTTTCCAAACTTAGGCCTACTAGTTAACTCTGTGTTATATGTAAATATACAGACAAATTGCTCATTGCTAAATAAATGAGAAGATTGAAATGAATGATTCAATCATGCTCAAATTTGGTAGGAGTGTCAAGCAATGCCAAGACCATAACCA